GAGGGAGGGGAAGGGAGAGAGGGAGGGAGGGAGGAAGGAAGGGCAGACAGTTCTGGCTAATGTGGCCCAGTTGGTGGAGAAGCATCCCCCCTACACCAAAAGGTTGTGGGTTCGATTCCCAGTCAAGGCACATACTTAGGTTTTGGGTTTGTCCCCTGTTGAGGTGTGTGCAAGAGGCAGCCAATTGATGTTTCTCTTTCACATCAATGTTTCTCTCTCTCTCCCTCTCTCCCTTCCTCTCTCTAAAATCAATAAACATGTCCTGGGGTGAGGATTCAAAACAAAACAAAACAAAACAAAACAAAACAAAACAAAACAAAACAAAACAAAACAAAACAAAACAGATAATAACAAGTGTTGGCGGGGATGTGAAGAAGTTGGCACCCTTGGTGTAGCTACTATGGATAACAATATAGCAGTTCTTCAAAAAAATTAAAAAGAATTACCATATGACCTAGCAATTTCTCTTCAGGGTATATACCCCCCAAATTGAAAGCTGGAACTTGAAGAGATATTTGTGTGGTAGGCAGTTAGACATGAGCAGAGCAAGGATGATGGGCCAGGTACAGAAGGTCACCAGGGTGGGAAGCCCTGGGTGCCTAGCAAAGGACAATTGTAGGGTGGGACACCACCCCCAGGGTGACCTTTCTTCCCCTAGCATATAGATGATCATGTGGTATGGATCCCCTGACCTTTCCTCCCTAGAGATAACATGTAGGGCTCAGTTGTATTTCAGCTCCAGGCCCAGAAAAGCAACAAAACCAGACCAGCAACCCCATGGCTGACCTCAGGACCAGCTGCATTGGATAATGACCCCCTGCCCTGGTGCCAACCAATCAGTGGAGACCCTGACCCTGAAAGGACACACCTGGAAAGCTGATGAATATTCCATTAAGATCTTCCCCTGGGACCATCCCTATGATCTCCACCCTTAAAACCCTTAGGACTGAAGACCCAGAGTGCTCTCCCTACCTGGGCACCCGGGCCTTTACTTTCGCCCTCCCCTTCTCCCCCCGGCCCTCTACCATTAACTTCCTGACTCCCAAGCTCCAAGGGCCCTTCCTTGACCTCTATAACTTGTTTCCTAAGCCCATTTCTTCTACATGTTACTTCTACCTCTGTGATTTACCAAATAAATGCTCTCTTATAGTTTGAGTCTTGGCTCTGAATTCTTTCCAAGCCATAACTCAAGTACCAAGGTTGCTGAACCCAGATGTAGTCCGACCCCACCAGTCTAATACCTGGTGCTGTTCCCGCTGTCTACAACATTTGTACACCGGCATTATTGACAGTAGCCAAAAAGTAGAAGCAACCCAGGTGTCCATTGTTGGATGAGTGGATAAACAACATGTGGTATATACATACTATGAAATATTATTCAGTCTTAAAAGGGAAGGACATTCTGCCATATGCTACAACATGGATGAATCTGAAGGATATTATGCTAAGTGAAATAAGCCAGATGCGAAGGACAAATACTGTATGGTTCCACTTATATGAGGTCCCTAGAGCAGGCAAATTCATGGTGCAGAAAGAATGGCACCAGGAGCTGGGGTAGGGGCTGAAGGCTAATGTTTAATGGGGACAGAGTTTCAGTTTGGGAAGACAGAGTCCTAGAAATAGATGATGGTGATGGCTACACAACAATGTGAATGTGCTTAATGCCACTGAACTGGACACTTAATAATGGTTTAGATGGTAAATGTTATGTATATTTTACCACAATTAAAAATCATATGTTTCCCTGGATTTCCCTGGCTGGTGTTGCTCAGTGGTTGAAGAGTCAGCCCAAGCACCAAAGGGTCGAGGGTTCGATTCCAGGTCCTGGTTGGGGCAGGTGCAGGAGGCAACCAATGATGTGTCTCTCTCACGTTGATGTTTCTCTCTCCCCATCCCATCTTCTACTCTCTAAAAAAATCAATGGAAAAAATATCTTCAGGTGAGGATTAACAAAAAGATACTTAAAATATCATATATTAAAAAAATTAAAGCAAGAAACTGGATGGTGGTGGGGAATGGGTTCTTCAGCATTAGCTGAACAAGATTAACAAAGATGACAAAATGGTCCAGGGCAATTACTTGTGAGAAAAAACTTTTAAAAAATTTTTCCAAAGGCTCCTTCTTGGCTCACAAACTCCTCTGAAAAACTGATGAGTGCAGTAGACCTTCTGCTCAGAAATATACAACTTTGCATAAAATTCCTGGGGTTTCCTAAAACCTCTGAAAACCACCCATTATCTCCTGGTAGAAAAATCCAGAGGTAAAACAGGAAGTGAGAAGTCAGGAGAACAATCGTGAATCATCAATCACCTTTGGAGGGAGTGAGAGGAAGGGGCCCAGAGACTGAGGGCCAGCCCAGGATGCTTCACTTCCTGACCTGGTGCTGGTGACACCAGGATGCTCAGTTTGTGAAAAGCCATGGAGCAGTCCACTTTTGTGCATGTCTTGTGCACAAAATGTATGCATAACTCAAAAAATAAAACAGCAAAACATTTTAGAAAAAGGTCTGGCAGGAGATACTCCAAAGTGTTCACATTGCAGGTGTTTATACTAGGGAGGACCATGGCACCCTCCACTATGCCACACATTTCTGTATTGTTTGAATTTTGCCTTTTACAATTGCTATGAATTACTGTCATGAGGAAAAAATATTCTGTAAAGATTTTGTTTGAGAATCTTCACTGTGGGTGTTTGTTAGAACTTTCTGCCACAATGCAATGTTTTCTATCTCTGGAGCCCAATACTATAGTCACCAGGCACACGTTAATTATACTAGGCAGGAGTTAATGATAATTAATTTACATTTAAATAGAAACAGCCACATGGTCCAGGGCAATTACTTGTGAGAAAGTAACTGGGCAACAGTATGGGACAGTGCTGGTCTAGGAGAGAGCATAAGGGAGTTTGGTATAATAGTTTTGTCACTTTTTTGTAGTTATGAACATTGTTCAAAATAAGTAAATTCTAAAAAAGGTACCTATTTTAAAGCTTAAAGAGGAATACACTGAGACAGATCAGACACAGATATCGGCATTATTATAAGGTAGCTTTATTAAATTCCTTTACTATCTAAAAAATGATTACAAAAAGGAATACTTCATTTAAGTGTAATACTGTCTTTATGGACGTACCATGGTTGGAAAGTAAAGTTAAAGGTCATGAATACATGTGAGAAGAGAATGGGGACAAAGGCAGGACCCCTGGTAGTCTATCACGCCAAGCGCAATGGGTCCCCGGGGAGAGGAGAACACAGGGACAAATATGGTGGTGTCAATGGGCTGCTTCTAGAAGCTTAAAATAAACACACCCCCTGACTCTGGGCCAGGACACATAGGCACACAACTCTTGTACCGATTCTCAAAGCTGCCCAAAGCTGCAGCCTTCCTTCCATCAGATACCAGTGGACATCCCCAAGCAGCTTTGGTTTTTGTTTTCTCTCCAATTTACACACATACACACACACACACACACACACACACAAACACACACTAGGGTGCCTTCCTCCTTTGACCATCAAGCTCTTTTGTCTTGGGTACAAAGTAAAAAAGATTTTGATCCCTTCAATCAAAATCAAAGCAAGCCAGACTCCCGCAAGCCAAGAAACCCACTTCTGTAGGAGAGAAGCCAGCGTTTCGCTTTATTGAATGAACATGTGAGCACTCAGGGCCTGATCTGTCCTCCTGTGGTCTGGCTTCGACTCTGGCAACCAAGCTGAGAACTGGACAAGGGAGGGCAGGACACCTATTAGCTAGAGGTCTTACTCCCCTGTCACAAAGGCACTTCTGGAGGCTCGGAATCTATCCCTTTTCTTTTTTTGGTTCACAAAAGGAAGGAACAGGAAAGAAAACTATGTTGAGATTCTGGGGACAAAACAGGCCATTAAGGAAACTGTGAGTGTCTGGCAAGCCCTATTTCCAGCAGGCCTTGTTCCAGGCAGCTCCGGAAAGCGTGTAGGTTAAAAAAAACCCAGCTGGCCCTTGTTTGGTTTTCAGCAAGGCCCTGCCTCTTTAAGTTTGCACTGGGAGCCCTCCGGGGGCAGCCAACTTTTAATTGTGCACACATGGGGTTTCTGGAGCCGGCCCCATGCTCTGCCAACAAACACACGGCCTGTTTTCTTTCCTTTGAAGAGAGAAATTCTGGAGTCTGAGGAGGATCAGGACGGCCCGTAACCCGGGTTCTAAGCCCAGGGACTCATCAGTGGCTCTGGGAACAGGATTCATTTCCTGTGTCTCCAGGTCTGAAGGATTTTCTAGGAAAATTAATATTTGCTGGGGCCTCCATGTGGGGAGGGGTCAGATTTGGGGGTAATTTCTTGATATGAACTCACACATATCGGCTCACACATCTCAGCTGCTGAGAGTCCTGAGGCTCCCCCCACCTGAATGGGGGCGACACTTGTAGTGGCAGCGAGAAAGCAGAAGGGACTAAATTTCCTACTCCCGGTGACAAGGACAGAATCTGTTTTGTGAACAAAATTCCCCCAAGAAGCTGCCTGGGGGGAGTGGACAAAACACTATTATATACCAGACAATTAAATGCAGGGGGGCAAAGGGGAGTTAAGCCACTCCAGACGCCACCCGTGTGTAATAACACTCAGGATTAAAACGAGAATATGCAATTCCAGTGACTTTCAAATTTGGCAACAAGTAGTATGATTTCCCCCATTCCCCGATGGTGATTCAAAAACTACAATACTTTTTCCTCTTGCCCTCCTCCCCGTCACTGCCAGTTGAGTGTTCTCAGGGTTCTCCACAAACCCACGCCCCAGCATCGGCCTCTGGCGCCAATTTATATGAGAATGTAGTTTTGGTCTGCACTGTGGCTGCTTTGAACTGGGGTACAGGGAAAACCCCACTTTAAGCTGGAGTCTTGTCACTGTTAAGGGTTCCCCCTGGGAAGCAGAAGAAAAACCCACTTGCCTTTGAGACCGAGGCCTTGGTGGGTACGAGGGGTGGGGCAGGAAGGAGCCCGGGAGGAAGAACAAGGGAGGAGGGGCGGTTTGCTCTGGGGCTGACTGGCCCCCGAGGGGAGGCACCTCTGGTCCCCTCTCATGGCTACTCTTCTGCGGAGGACGATGCAGCACTTTCGTCATCTGACATCGGGGCAAACTGAAACGAGAAGAATTCCTTGTTTGGCATCCTTGCCTCCCAGGCGCCGCGCTGTTGGCTAGCCCTGCAGCTGCGGTGAGCGAACAAGAGGCTGTGATCCCCTGGCCTCAAGGAGGCCACCTTTGGGGGAGGTGCCTCCAAGAAGCAAATACATAAATGCAGAAGAGGGTTTTCATCAGGGATAAGAGATGGAAGGGAATGAAAGTGGATGGCAGGTGGTCAGGGAGGGGGATGTCTGTGCTGAATGATGCTGAGGGGCCAGCCAAGGGGGCTGAGCAGGGAATTTCAGGCAGAGGGAAGAGCCAGTGAAGAGGTCCTGAAGCAGGGGCGGTGGTAAGGCTGGTGTGGCTGGAGCTCGGTGAGCGGGGGGAGAGGAAGGACAGAGGGGTGGAGGTGAGGGCTGTTGTGCAGGGCCTGATGGGCTTTACAGATGACTTTGGCTTTTTCTCCAACTAAGGTGGGAGTGAGAGAGGGCTGTGAGTACAGGAGGGGTGTGCTCTGACTCAGGTGTCCACAGTGACCTCTGGCTGCTGTGGGGAGAGCAGACAGGAGGGGGCAGTGGGGGGGCAGAGGCTATGGCAGTGGTCCAGGTAGACAGTGATGGAGAATTGGGGTTCCTCCCTCAGGAGTCCCTGGGGGCAGGAGCACAGATCAGATAGCAAGGCATCACCAGCCCATCACCCCGATCTTCCAGTTGAGGAAACTGAGGTCGAAAGCTGATCCCCAGGTGATCCTGAGTGTCACCACTGAGGCCCAGGCATCCTGAAGCCAGAAAAACTTGGAGCCTCAGAAGAACCTGAGAGCCAGGTGGAGACAGATGGCATATGTCTCTGCAACCTTCCCTCTCTTGGACCATTTGGGGAGTTGCTGTGGTCGACACCCACCATGCTACTCTTGAACCCGGTCCCAGATATGCCTCAGGGAAGCTGGGGCAAGTGCAAGTGGGGGTGAGGAGGAGGGGGCAGCGAGGCTCCTGCCCAAGGTCTGGAGTCAGACAGGCCCCAGGGCCTCTGCCCCTTCCTGGCTGTGAGACCCTGAACCAAGGATGTAACCATTCTAAGCCTCAACTTTCCCACCTGAAAAACAGAAATAATAATAGTACTTTATGCAAACATATCGGGTTATTGTGGAAGGTTCAAGAAATCACACCCAGTAGGCACTTGGTATTTGTATTGTCTCCTCCATTACACAAGAGTATCACTTTGAGCACCTATAGGGGTTGCCTCCGTCTCCCCCATTGGACTGGAAGGGACTGTGCTCCACCAGACTAGAAGGGCTTTTTTCTCCACCAGGCACTTACGACACAGCTAGTATCAACATCACCCTCCTATTACTCTTCTGGAAGAGTGTTTTGCTAACAGACAAGATTTTTAAAAAACCCAGACTTCTGTGATCAAATAAGAGCAATGTTGGGTTAAACACAGTTAAATTAGGTTTCTTTACAGTGAGACCTCTCAAGGCCTTTGATACAATGACATGCTTTAAAAGCCAAAGTCTTCACTGTGTGGCCCACAAGGCCCTGCATGATCTGTGGCGTCATCTCCCTGCCCTCGTCTCTTCCCTCTGGGGCTCCTTGATGCCCCTCAAACACACCAAGAATGTTCCTGCCTAAGGGCCTTTGCACTGTTTGTTCCTTCTGCCTGGAGAGCCACATAACTTGCTCTCTCACTTCCTCAAGTGTTGGCTCACATGTCACCAATTCATCAAGGTCTCAAGTAGCTCCTCCATCACCCACTTTCCCTCTTATCCCAGTACTTACCATTCTCTGGCTATGATACACTAATTTGCTTATTTTGTCTTTTAATTAGAATGTCTGCTCTATGAAGGCAGAAACTTTTTTGTTTTGTTCAGTGCTGTGACTGCCAGGACCTACAATAGGGCCAGAGACAGCTGGTGCTCTGTAAATATTTCTCAAATGAGTGAATAGTGATTAAGAGCATGCGTTTGGAACCAGAGAACCAAGTTCAAATAGTTATGTCGACCATGACCATGCAGTCTCAGCTCTCTGTGACTCATTTCCTCATGGGGCACCATGGAAGTTCAACAAGCAGATGACTATTAAGTCCCTGGCTCAGGATCCATACACCATAAGTTCTTCAGAAGCATCTGTCCCCTCCCAAGGCCCCCACCCCCTGTCCTGCCAGGGTTGAGACTCACCGAGCACTTGATGTTCATGCGAGAGTACAGCATGGATGCAATTTCACTCTGCCCCGCGTCCAAGGCCACCATCAAAGCCGTGCTCCCATCCTGAAAAGCACCATTGCTATAATGACACCTGGCACTGAGCTCCTGCCCTCCCTGAGGTGCACCTGAGTGTTGACTCACGCGGTCAGTGAGTGAGATGTTGCAGCTGGGCACAGCCAGCAGCAGTCCCGTGATCTCCTTGTGGCCATGCTCGCAGGCACACATGAGGGCTGTGGAGCCGTCATCATCTTGCACATTGACGTCTGCCTCGCAGGCCAGCAGAGCTTTGACCACATCCACCCGCCCATGGCTGACTGCCAGCATCAGGGCTGTCTGCCCTGCCTGGGCAGGACAAGAAACAGGCTTATGAACTACGCAGGCTCCAAGACATGTCACCCTGCACTGGAACCTTTCATGGTTCCTGACTAATCTGACGCTAACAGCACCCCCACTCCCTGGCCTCCTTCTGTGCCTCAATCAGTCCTTCCCACCACTGGGCCTTTGCACTTGCTCATCACCCCCTCCTCCTGCTGTCTCATTCTCACTCCTCAGGCCTCAGCTTAAATGCCGCCTCCTCAGGGAAATGCTACTCCTTTCCCCACCCCCACCTAAAGCAGGTGCCTAACTTACAGGTGTAAACATATGTAAACATTTATCAAGTTAAGATTTGTACACTTTTCTCTATGTCAGTTGAACCTCAATAAAAATTTGTAAACCAGTGTTCACCAGTACATGAACAATAAACAAACTGCGGTAAACCCATACTACAGAATATTACTCAGCCTTCAAAAGAAATGAAGCACTATGGCATGCACACTACACCATGAATGAACCTTGAAAACATTATGCTCAGTGAAAGAAGCCAGATACTAAAGGGCACATACTACCTGACTCCATTTATATGAAATACCCACAATAGGTAAATCTACAGAGGCAGAAAGCAGGCTGGTGGTTGCCAGGGACTGTGGGAGAGAGTGGGGAGTCACTGCTAATGGGTGCAGGGTTTCCTTTGGGGGTGATGGGAATGTTCTGGAAATAGATATAGGTGATGGTTGCACAACACTATAAATGTACTAAGTGCCATTAAATTGTACATTTAAAAGAGTTAATGTTATGTGAATTTCACCTCAATTTAAAAAAAGTAAACCACTAAAAAATTATTTTTAATTAAAAAACATGAAATCAATAAAAAAAAGCAAGCAGGGTCTGCTCCTGTATGCGCACCGCAGCTCCCTGCTTCTTTCTTTCCCCACTTTTATGCTGTTTTGATTCCCTCCCCTCCTCGCTGTGTCCTAGCTGCCCTACTCTTCTGCCTTACACCTGTCCACTCCCCTGCCTCCCAGCTTCTGCTCCCAACATGCAGCTGGAGGGAGATTTCAAATCAGAAAGTGGGCCACACCACTGCACCGATGCAACGCCTCTAGTGGCTTTTTGCAGCCCGTGTCCAAACCTCTCCAACCTCCATGCTGCCTGAAATGCACATGGCTCCCAGAGCCCCCCACTGGCTAGTGAGCTTCAGGACGTGGGGGCCATGCCTGCTTGTCCACTATCTGAGCCTCTGGCATCCACTTGCTGCCCAATGAATTACCAAGCAGCATGGGGGATGGTGTCAGGTTAGGAAAGGCTGAGGACCCCCATGTCCTCTCCCATCCCCCACCCATTTCCACCAAAAGGTCCTGCAACACAGGCGGCCTGTCGGGGAAGGGCATAAGAACAGGGCTCTGGAGCTAGATCCTCTCCCTTCAAATCCCCCTCCTCTAATATGACCTTGAGAAAATGACTCTGCTTCTCTGAGCCTCAGTTTCCTTGTCTGTGGAGTGGGAACTCTCTCCTGGGCATGAAACGAGGTCATGTTTGGGCTTGGGGCACAGCCAGGACTTAGTAAATGGGAAAGGCTGCCCAGGGCCCGTACCTGGCTGGCTTTGGCATTGACGTCTCCAAGCCGAAAGAGCTGCAGGAGAGTCTCGATGTCATCTTGGGTCTTCAGGGTGGCCAGGGCGGTGAGCATGATGGGGCTGTAGCCAGCACGGTTCTGCTTGTCGACCTGGCAGACACCTGATGGAGGGGGCAGGACGACACGAGCCCTCAGACCCTGCTGATGTGAGCTAGGCCTGCCTCGGTCTGGGGGGGGGTCCCCAAGGACCAGGCCACATCTCTGCTATCAGACCGGGATGGAGCTTGTTTCACTCGACCATAATGAGCACTGGGCATCATGTCTCCTCCATCAGTCCAGACGTGGCCTAATTCCTCCCTCTTCTCAGACTGAGAACCCCATTCTGCCCCAGGATGTCCTTCTCCATTCTTTTTTTTCTTCTTTTTCCCCCATTTCCATTCTGATACCTGTCTCCATTCTTTTTTTTCCTTCTTTTCCCCCCATTTCCATTCTGATACCTGTCTCCATTCTTTTTTTTTCCTTCTTTTTCCCCCATTTCCATTCTGATACCTGTCTCCTCTAAATGGAGCCACTCCACTTATAATTGAAGCCATCCCACTCCTCCATCAGACTGCTCCCCCAGCACTGGCACCCACATTTCAGACTGGGAGTAGGATGTGTCTCCCTCATTAACCTGAACACCAGTCTCCCTCAGACTGGTCTATGTCTCCTCCATCAGATTCTGGGTTCCACCTCCTTCATCAAACTAGGAGTCTGTGTCTTCCCAGTCTGACTAGGGAAAGGAAAATATTTTCCTGCCGAATTGAGGACCACATCTTCTCTCCAAGCCCCAGGCTGGAGGACATGTCCATCCCTCAGACTAGGGTTCCAGAGGCATGACCTCCACTGTACAGCGGTCTAAGTGGATGGTGGAAGGGCCACATGTTTCCCCGAACCATGGCTGGCCTTCCCAGAATACTGGGGCTACAGGTAGGGCCTGCATCTCCCCCACCAGAGTGGGAGGGCAGTGTCTTCCCCATCAGACCACCAAAGCAGGGTGGCAGCTGACCAGCTCTCCCGGGCCCCCTCAGCCTGCCTGGCAGGGCTTACCGCTGTCCAGCAGCTGCCGCACAACTGGGAAGTTGGCGTGGGACACAGAATAGTGCAGCGCAGTGTTGCCATTGCTGTCAGCAATGTTGACCACATAGTCCAGCAGCCGTGATGACATGGCCCGGAACGTGACCAGGTGGCGCCGCACAAGCTCAGGGTGGGCATCGCTGCGGCAGGCCAGGCGCAGCCACTCCTGAAGCACTGTGGTGTAGGCCACTTTCTGGATGCAGGTCGGAAAGAAGGGTGTGAGGGCAGGCGGCAGCCCACCTTCTCCAGGGCTAAGCCCCAGGAGGGGAGTGCGGATGTCCCGATCCTGAACCGGAGCCTTGGAGGGGAGTGTGGGCACCCCACCAAGAGGAGCCCCTAGAGTAAAGTGTTATATCCCCATCCTAGACAAGGACCCTAGAGGGAAGTGGGGACACTGCAATCCAAGATCTGCCCCCCAGAGAAAGTTGTTAGCGTCTCCATCCTGGATATGTCCTTCAAAGGCAAGTGTGGACACCAGTGGAGGGAAATACGACATCCCCTTCCCTCAAGCTCCCGAAGGACCAGGAACCAAGGCCAGGTTTGCCAGCAGGCGATCATCCTCAGACCCCTCCCCACCTCCCCGGTCCCTCTCTAAGGCCCACGACTCAAGCACACTGCCCCCAAGCTCCCAGGGTCCCCCTGAGGCTGGCACAGGGAGCACTGCAGATGAGGAGAAGCCAGGGTGCAGAGGAGGGCCCTCCCAGTCCCAGGGTCCCCGCGTACCAGCTCCCGCTCGCTGAGGGCATTGGGGTTGTCCAGGTACTTTTCCAAGGCTAGACAGGCTGAGATGAGATCAGGGCTTAGCTCCATCCTGTGAGGGGGAGGGAGTTTATCTCAGGAACACCCACCTCAGCCTCCTGGGTTTCCCCTACTTTCGACATCTGGCTGGGGTGCTCGGAAAGGGCCTCAGTGCTCTCTACCATGGCACTCACCCAGTCCTTCCAGGGCTCACCTGACTGGTAGAACCTCAGAGGCCCCTTCACCAAGAACAAATTTTTACACTATACTCCACAGGCATACATGGGGGACAAACAGACTCCAAGGGAAAGTGGGCACACAGGCTAGTTTACTCCAAGTGGTCAGTGGCAGGTGGAAAATATGTTCCTAATGCCAGATTTTTCATCAAGGAAAAAAAGAGATAAACAGGATAGACAGGTGGGACAAAAATGTCCCCAAAAGGTGGGTAGCTTAAGGACTTTACTTGCCTAACCCAACAGCCCAATTGCTCCCATCAGGCTCTTCATCAAAGCCTCCAAGCCTTCAAGATGCCCAGAGGGAGAAAAGTACTTCTCTGCTAATTTAGACTAAGATGTGCATGACTGATGGGATATTCACTCAAAAGGCTTGGATGGAGGGATTTGAGGTCACCCCACACACAACCCTGGCCCTGCCTCCCACCCAGAAAACTGACCGGATCTCTTCCACATTTGATCCCGATGCCCCCTCAGCTGTGGGCACATGCTGAGCCTCCCGAGATAGTTGGCACTCCTCCCGGTTGTTCTTGGCTACTGCTGCACCTGTGGGCCTGAGCTGGGGGGCTTCAGCCACACTTGGCACCCTTGCCTCGGGCTCTGGGGTCTCATTCTCTGTGCTCTCATTGTCCGAGAAGTTCTCTGCCGTGCTGGAGTCCTCAGATGAGGACTCACACCTGGGGAAGAGGGATAAGTGGGGCAGGAGAGATGCTGCAGATGGGATAGCAAATGGTGGAGAAGGGGTGTGGGGCTCTGACTACAGGACCTTGGTTTCCCAATCTGTTAAATGGGGATAACGTCAGCATGGACCTCACAGGTCTTCAGGAATGTGTCTTAACAGCACTTGGCACTTAGTAAGTGCTCAATAAACACTAGCTGTGACTGGGATCACGCTGGGGAGGTCAGGGAGGGACACTGCTTTTTCCTTCTATCTCTCGGTACCTCTCACACACTCTGCTCCTTACACAGGTGTAAGACCCTTGCCTTACCTCGAATGGGTCCCTCATGCTTCTTGCTTCCTCTGGACAAAGTCTAAGCTTCCTGGCATTTGAGGTCTCAAACTGTCCCTGACCATCGCTCCCCATGCCCCCCATTAATCATGTCACTGTGCTGCCTCTCACTCTGAGCCTTTATCCAGGCTGTGCCCTCCACCAGGCAAGCCCTCTCACCCCACCCCCCTTCACTTTGCCAGCTCCTGCTGTCCTGTAGCACACGTGCTCATCCTTCAGTGACTTCTCTGGGACATCTGTGCCTCCCCAAGATCCCACACTGCCTAAGCGTCCCTGTCATTGCTCCAACCACACTGCTGGGACCTCCCATTGGGGCCTGAGGCCCCGATAGTCCAAAAGCTTCATCAGGGCAGGGAGCTTAATCTGGCACCTTCCAGGGGGTAACATAGTACAGTGGTTAGAGCATACATCTAGAGCCAGACCATCTAGGCAGACTCCTGGTCACCACGTGAGCTCCAGCAAGGCACTCAGCCTCATTGTGCCTCAGTTTCCTCACTTGTCTATCGTGCATTAGTTAAATGAATGAATCAAAGTGAGGGGCTTAGGCCAGGTCCTTGGTATATTCTTGGAACAAACAGGGGCATGGAAGCTGGGGAGTGTGCTAGGGGCTCCTCTCACCCTCCATTGACCCCCACAAACTGGAGGCTCCTCTGATGGGCCTTGGGGTCTGCAGGCTCCTCTTTCCGCTTCATGATGGACCGCATGCCCACCTGGGGCCCACCTGCGGGGAGAGGTGGTGTCACAAGGTTGGCCCACAGCCAGACCCCATGCCCGGGCCTCCAGTGCTCTGTCCCTCTTGGCAGCCACGCACACTTACTTGCACCTCTGGCCTCCTCTGACTCACATGAGGCTGCTTGCCTGGTGGGCTCCCTGTCGGTAGTGCTGCAGGTAGGCACCCAGCCTGTGTTCTTCTTGGGCTGTGCCAGCGAGGCTGCTGCAGACTCTGGGGGTGATGAGGATGACTCTGCAGAAGGCTGTGGGAGACCTGGAGGGGCAGGAAAGAGGGGCTCACTGTGGGTAACAACAGCAAAGTAATAACAGTAATAATACTGCCTCCTGGGGTCTGGGGCTCTGAGGGCTAATTCCAATACTTCATCAACTCTTCCCAGCCCATGAGAAGTGGAATTATTACAGATGAGCGAACTGAGGCCCCAGAGGATTGCTCAGTGATCAAGCAGCAGAATCTGATTCCAACCCTGGTTTGTTGCCTGCCCCACACTGGTCAGGGACAGGGAAGGTCCTATGGCCCCACAGTGCTGGCTCATGACCCCCCTCCGACAACATACTAAGTGTGTCTGGAAACCAGGTTTGAATCGCATCTTCTAGGAGCAGATGTGACCTCAGGCAATTCACTTAACCTCTCAGTGCCTCCAGAGAATGACATTCCTACTTCTTGGCATCTTCTGTAGACTAGACAGTGAGGTGAGATGAAGTGCTTAGGACAATGGCTGCACTTCAAGAGTGCTCAAGAAGCATCTGCTAGTTCAAGAGAATTGCAAACTTTATTTTGATAAGACTTAATATTATGATTTTTTTTAAGTCTTTTTTAAGATTTTTTATTGACTTTTTAGAGCGAAAGGAAGGGAGAGACAGAGGAGAAACATCAATTGGTGGCTGCCTCCTGCATGACCCGTCCTGGGGATTGAGCCTGCACTGCAGGCCTGTGCCCTGACCCAGAGGGGAACCGGCAACCTTTTGGTGCACAGGATGAAGCCCGCCCAACTGAGCCACACTGGCTAGGGCTATGATTTTTATTTTTATTTTTTACAGAAGGATTGTGCTAAAAACGTCATTTTGTATTCGGCTCCTTTTTCCTTCTTTACTTAACTCTAAGCAGGTGTTACTTTAATAAATTGGGAAAAGAAACAATAGAGCTATTGGAAAATGACAATTAAAACCTCGCCCAGGCAGAATTTCAGTTTGGGAAGATAAAGTTTTAGAGGTGGGTGGTGGTGATGGCTGCACAACAGCGTGAATGTGCTTAATGCCACTGAGCCGGACACTTTAAAATGGGAATTTTATGTTATGCATATCTTATCACAATTTTTTAGAAAACCCACCTAGCTTGGTCTAAGGACAGAGGTGACTTTGTGGGCACAAGGCCCTGAGGGTGCCCCCTGTCCACCTGGGAATGGAACTGGCAGGGAGCTCCAGGCCCAGATCACCAGCCTAAAATGAGGAACAAAAGTCTAGTCGCCACTGTGAGTGGCTGTCCAAGTCTTGGAATGGTTCAGGCCCCCCCAGCCAATGTGTGGCTTCCTTGTCACCACTTCCCCAGGACGTCCCCTTCCTGCCACTGGCCACAGGCTCCACAGACCAATTCATTTTAATTCTCTTTAACAGTTAAAACTTTTTCTAATATCCACAGTAACTACCTCCTCAAGTCCCTGGGCAACACTCAACTTGAGTTAAAAACAGGGAGTAAATACTTGGGACAAGCACATAGAAAAGATGAGACACTTGGCCATGAGCACACAGACAGCACCCCAGCCCAGGGTGTGGCTTGGGCCAGGCCAATTCCAGAGCTGGTTTTTACGTGAACCTCCTGATTTAAAAAAAAAAGTGATTTTAGAAAGAGAGAGGAGGGCAGAGAGAGAGAACAATTTGTTGTTCCATTTATTTATGCATTCATTGGTTGCTTCTTGTTTGTGCCCTAATTGGAGACTGAACCTGCAACCTTTGTGTATCTGGATGACATTCTAACTAACTGAGCTACCTGGCCAGGGCTCCTGGTTTTTTTTTTAAACTTTGTCAATAAATTCACATCAAACAAACAAAAACATTATGTGGACAAGTGAAATGTGTCAGGAAGCAGATGGCCAGTTTGTACCTTGTGCCCCAAACTCATGCCCCTAATTTAAATACCTGGGAGGGTAAAAAAATCAGGTAAAGCAGTATTTTGCTGAGTGAAATAAACCAGGCACAAGAGCATAACTACTGTGTGATTCCACTTACAAGAGGTCCCTAGAGGAGTCAGATTCATAAAGACAAGAAGTAGATGGTGGGTGCCAGAGGCTGGAGGAGGGAGAGGGGGAGTTAGTGTTTAATGGAGACAGAATTTCAGTTTGGGAAGATAGAAAAGTTCTGGGGATGGTTGGTGGTAATGGTTGCACAAAAAATATGACTGCTGAATACCACTGATCTGGACACTTATAAATGGTTGCGATGGTAAATATTATATTATGTGTATTTTACCACAATTTTTTTAAAGATTAAAAAAAATGGAGTAGTACCACGGCCCATTCCGCCCCAAGGAAAAGCACACCCTGCTTCCAAAACCTTGGGTGACTCCTTCCAGCATGATGAGGTCAAGGTCAGACACTGCAATGCTAAAATAACAATAATAAAAATGATGATATTTATTGCTGTTATTTCACTGGGGGATGGGGCAAACTGATACCAAAATTTATATGGAAAAACTAAAGTCCATGACTAGCTAAGATAATTTTACAAAAATGGGCAGAGATGGGGAACCCAGCCTAGGAGAGAGTAAAATATATGCCAATGCCAGAACAGTCCAAATAGTGGGGCATTGTTACTTGAAAGATGGGCCAAGGGAACAGAGGAGAGGGAGCCCAGCACAGGGCCCCCTCAGGGAACTGGGAGTAAGACAGAGGGGTTTCCACTAACCAGTGGTCAAGGGTGGGCTCTGTGGTGTGGTGCTGGGGAAAGCAGCTTACTCTAGCCAAGAAAATCAAGCTGGAACCCTATCTCAGGCCTTACACAGAAAATAAACTCTGAAGGGGTAATATGAAGGTACAACTACAAAACCACAGGAAGAAAATGTAGAATATCTGGGGCCTCAGGAAGGGGAAAGATTCCTTTACAAATTCCTCAATGTCTAACCACTATGTGGTACACCTGAAACTAATATAATATTGAATGACAACTGTAATGGGGGAAAAAAAACACTCAACCCTCAACAAATGAAACTTCAAATAAATAAAAAAATTCCACAAAGCACAGACCATATATGAAAAATAGAAGGTGATCTCACTTATATGTGAGATCTAATAAAACTGAACTCATAGATAGAGAATAGATTAGTAGTTGCCAGGGGTGGGGATGGGGAATGGGTGAAAGGGGTGAAAAGGTACAAACTTCCAGTTATAATATAAATAAATCCTGGGGATGTAATGTACAGCATGGTGACTGTAGTTCATAATACTGTACTGTATATTTGAAAGCTGCTAAGAGAGTGAATCTTAAACATTCTCATCATAAGAAAAAAAAAACAACTGTAAGGTGACAGATGTTAATAAAACTTATTGTGGTAACCATTTCATAATATATACATATATAAAATCATTAATTTGTACACCTTAAACTAATACAATGTTATATGTCAATTACATCTTAATAATAATGGAAAAAAAATTTTTAAATACGATTGGTTTAACTATGTCTGACATAAAGATTTCTATCTGATAAAAACAAACAAACAAAAAACCCAAGACTCATAGACAAAATCAACAGATAGAAGAATACAGACTGGGAGGAGATACAATGCCAAAAATGGGCAAGTGATAATCTTCTAGAACAAGAGTCAACAAGCTTTTTGTGTAAAGGGCTAGACAGTAAATACTTTTGCTATGTGGGCCATAAGGTCTCAGTAGAAAATAGTGCAAAAGCAGCTCTAGACACTAAGTAAATGAATAGGCGTGGCTGTGTTTTTATAAATTTGAATTTCATATAATTTTGCTCATGTCACAAAATGTTACTTCTTTTCATATTGTTCCACCATTTAAAAACATAAAAACCATTCTTAGCTTGTGAGTCATATAAAAACAGGCATCAGGCTGCATTTGGCCCACAAGCCATAGTTCACCAACCCCTATCCTGGAATATGTCAGAAACTTCTCAAAACTGCCCAAAGAAAAATGGACAAAGGCAAATAAGTGATCCACAGAGGGATCTTATTAAACATATAGTGATGCTCAACCTCATCAGAAATCAAAGAAATGCAAATTAAAACAAGGAGATACCACTTTGCACCAGCACCAGATGGGCAAAACATTAGAAAGACATATAAAACTGTATGTTGGTGGGGGTGTGGGGAAATGGGCCTTCCGAACCAAGCGTGGCTGGTGGGAATGTGAACAAGGGCAGCTTTTCCAGAGAGGATCAGACAGAACTTCTGAAACTGTGCATCTCCTGTGGCCCAGTGACCCTACTGAAGGGAACAGGTGAGGATGGTCCCAGCACTGTTCACGGCAGTCAGGAGTTGGAAGTAACCCAGGTGCCCACCAAGGGGGGATCAGAAAAGAAAAGTATAGCACATACTAGGGCATTAAAAGTGACAAACCGGATTTATAAACATCAGTATGAAGAGTTCAAAAACTGTGTACAGAGGAAAAAATAAGAAATGAGATTTTTTTTCCCCCCTAAAGCACAATACCATTTTAGGAAATGAAACACACACAAGGCATATTTTTCAAGGACACCCAAATATCTAAATAAGCTTCTGAAAGTGGATTGCTAGGAATGATATTAAGTGGGATGAAGGCTAAGAACTGATGAAGGGGGTGTGTGAATGGCATAGAGCAGAGATTGGCCTCCAGGGCAGTTTTTACATTTTTAAATGGTTGGAAAAACAATTAAAAGAAGGATTCCATCTGGGACACATGGAAATTATATGAAATTGACATTTCAGTGTTGAGACATGAAGTTTTCTTGGCACATAGCCACGCTCATTTATTAATACCTATATTGTTTAAGTCTGCTTTCATGCAACAAAGGCAGAACTGAGGCACCAAATTCATCAAAATGTATACATTAAAAATACACATTTTTTGCCTGGCTGGAGTGGCTTACTTGGTTGAGCATTGTTAGGGCACATACCTGGGTTGCGGGTTTGATCCCTGGTCATCTCTCTCCCTATCCCCCGCCCCTCTAAGCATATCCTTGGGTGAGGATTAAAAAAATAATAAAATTAAAAATACACATTTTTGTCCTGGCCGGGTAGCTCAGTTGGTTAGAGTGTTGTTCCGATATGCCAAGGCTGCAGGTTCGATCCCCAGTCAGGGCACATACAAGAATCAACCAATGAATGCATAAATAAGTGGAACAACAAATTGATGTTTTCTCTCTCTCCCTCTCAAATCAATAATAATAAAAAGAATGTCCAAACCTGTAGAGAACTTAAAATATATATATATATATATATATATATATATATATACACACACATATTATTGTATATAATATACCTTAATAAAACTGGGGAAAAACAAGTAGAACTGAGTCATTGCAAGAGAGATCATAGGGCCCACAAAGCTGAAAATATTTATTGACTCTCATCATTGAGGGTGGAAATGAAGGTGAAAAAAGAGTAAAGTAAAACAGTATCAGTGTGGTTACCATGGGCAGAAGAAATTTCATTAACTTGGGTTTGAGCCCCTTAAGAGCAAAAGAAATTGTTAACAACGTAAATTACTTAGCCACCCAGTGCTGGAAAGGAGTGAACCTAAGGGAGTGTAAAGCAATTTGGTAACAGACATCAAGGCCCTCAAAAATGCCCTTTCAGAAACCTGTGCTGAAAAAACAGATCAGTTCCTGAGGAAAGACGTCTGCATGGCACCCTTGAGAGTTAAGAGTGATGTGGCTGTTCAAAAATAAATAATGCATCCCAAGAATTCTTAATAACATGAGAAAATGTCCCTGGGAAAATGTTAAATCAAAGAAATCAAAGAAATTATAAATTCTTGCTTTGAGAACTGTGGGCAAATCCCTTAATCCGCCTGTGCCTCAGTTTCCTCATCTATAACATGGGGATTAAAATGAATTAAAATATTAAAAGGGAGTCAAATAATGCCTTGATCTATAGTAAGGGCTGCTTAAATGCTTTTAAAAGTAAAATAAAAAGAAACAACAAATTCCACCAGCCTCATGTTACCAGATTTGAAAAATACATATTATTTTCTGTGTTAAAAAATTCAGAAGAAGCCCAGGCAGCATGGCTCAGTGGTTGAATGTCCACCTATGAACCAGGAGCACATGGTTTGATTCCCAGTCAGGGCACATGCCCGGGTTGCAGGCTCGATCCCCAGTTGGGGGCGTGCAGGAGGCAGCCGATCAATGACTCTCTCTCATCACTGATGTTTCTCTCTCTCTCTCCCTTCTTCTCTGAAATCAATAAAAATATTAAAAAGAATTTGGAAGGAAAAAAGCAGAAGTGTTGACAGCAGCTGCGTTTGGGCAGTGATAGGTTTTTGGGGGGGTTGGTATTCTAGATTTTTCTGTACTTCCCAAAGCTTCCGCAGAGAATATAAATTGCTTTCATAGAAACATGTTTCAAACAAGAGCAGAGGAAATTTCAAAGTCTTGGAGAGACACCAGGGATGCATGTGCCTGGCCACCCTTTCTCCCACTGATCTCTCTGTGGTGCCTTTGCCAGGACTTTGGGGTGCTCCAGGAGGGGAAGACTGTCACTCAGCCTCCCCACCCTTCAACTATGCATCTAGCTGACCCACCTAAGTGAATACATGGTCCAAACATTTGTCAAGTCCTCCTAGTGTCGTATCTCATTTTATTTCCTATATTGCTTCTCACCAGTCTACAAAGCCTGAAGGACCCACCCCTGTGCTCAGGCTATCCTGGACCTCACTTCTCTAGCCTTATCCTATTCCAGTTTGTTCAACACCTAGGATGCACCCATGCCCCTCCTCACCTCAGAGCCTTTCCCCCTGCTATATGCCCTCCCAGAAGACTCTTCTTCCCACTTCTTTGCCATCTGGCTGCTTCCTTACTTTCACATCTTGGTTCAGAGCCAACAGCTAATCCTTGAGTACCCACTATATCTTGGTGCCCCCATTGAACACTTAACATGAATTGATGCATGTAAGCCTCACATTAATCTGGTGCATCAGGCTGTCAGGACCCCAATTTGCAAATGAGACACAGAGAGGTTAAATAAATTGCTCAAGGGCGCAGAGCTAGGGAGCAGGGAAACCCAGGCCTCCACCCCATCGAACACATTATCTGCTTCAAACTGGTGTTCTCTGAAATAATATTTCTTCACTTATTTATTATGGTCTCTTATTTGTTTATTGCAGGGGCTTTTGTCTATCTTGTGCATTGCTATGTCCCCAGTGCCTAGAAGAGTTTAGTACATAACAGGAACTCTATAAACATTTGCTGAATGAGCAGACATTAAAATGGATTAGCACATTGGGGCTGACTACATCAAGACGGAGTTAAGTGAGACACAAGGAAGAACTACTGGGGGTGGCAGCTTGCTTAGGGTGGGATCATTGCTATGTCTGTGTGTCCTGCAGGCAGAAGGCCCCATGACTGTCCTGGGAGGCATGTCTGGAATGAAGGTTGCCTCTCAGAGACCCTGAGGTTGGGCCAGGCGGGGCTCCTGGCAAGAGGCCAGTCACAGGGCTGGGTGTTTGGAATAGATACAGAACAGAGGGGTGGTGCCCAGCGCTGGCCGAAAACATGGAAAAGCAAGAAAACACAGCTGGGTCCCCACCCTCCAGCTGCGCCCTCGAGTCCCAGCATGAGGCTCTGGGCATCCTACATATGAGGCTGGGATGAGAACCTGGGTCCCACCTCTGAGCCCTGCTGCAGGTTCAGGCCAGATCCTGGTTTGGCCGTTTCCTGGCTATGTGACACAGGGCAAGTGCAGCTTCTCCCTAAGCCCCAGTTTCCCCAACTATAAATAGAGTCGACCTGAAAATCATCAGCAGACATGGAATAAGCAAGGATTGAGTACTTACTGTGTGTGCTAATTCACAGGCATTCTAGAGGTAGGGACCATTATTATGCCACTTTACAGATAGGAAAGCAGAGGTCCAAAGAGAAGTTGCTCATTCGGGGACACACAAGAAGTGGAATTTCAACCCAGGTTGCCTGGCTGCACAGCTCCCTGTCTTTAGCTCCCCTATGGGTGAAACACTTAGCACAGCACCAGGCATCAGGCTGGTGTCTGATAAAGAACAGCTGTTGTTATTATTATGAATCATTCTGGCAACTTCTCCCAGGGGCTTCAGGGCAGCAGTGGTGGGCAGCTGCATATCCCACATCCCCTTTCTTGTCATGAGGACTCAGCACTTCCTTTAGGGAGCACCCCTCAGGACTTGGCCACAGGACTTGAGTGGGGCTCCTCTACCCATAGGAGCTAGGCAGTGAGGGACAATGATTACCTCAGTGTTGGGCATGTGACCCAAGCCAGCCAATGAGTGCCACCTCTGGGATTTTTACTGGCAATATTTGGACTGAGGGGCTCCCTTTCCACTGAGCTGCAAGCACAGAGGCCCAGAGTGGTGGGGCCACCTTTGCTGGCCTGAGAGAGAAGCCTCCAGGGTGCACAGAGGAAGAGAAAGAGAGTTAGAGATTCCAGAGCACCAGGATCAAGCTATGCCTGAAGCTATCACTAAGTTATGTGAACAACACATTTCCTTTTCATTGCTTAAACTGGTCTGAGATTGGTTCCTGCCACTTACTGAATAAACAGGAAGGGTTTTTTGCTCAGCAAACCAACCTCTTGGGGATGCTCCTCACCAAATACTTTCTGTTTTCTGGACACTTACAATGCAATAGATAAGCATGAGAACATACATTTAATAGAGATCCAATTTTTCAGCATGATCCCTACAGCACTGAGTTGGTGGCACAATTCTGTTCCCTTTTTGCAGATGAAAAGACAGAGGCTCCAAGGCAGGGAGCGATATGTATGGTGGAAGACGAGGGCTAGGGCTGTGGCTGTGGCTGGACCCTGCTGTTCAAATGAAGAAAGAGGGACCCTCCACTGTCCTCCCTGCCCGTTATGGCTCACCTGCTGCCCCACTGCAGTTTTGCTCTGTGATGCTGATCTTCTTCACCAAGTGGACATTGCCAGTGGATGCAGTGGGCGAGGGGAACACTGCCTCCACCACTTCATGGCTTCGGAACACAGGGGAGCTCTCCGTTCCTCCAGATGTTGCCAGGGCCCGCAGGCCTGCTCCATAGGGCTCCAGACTCTGGGCCCGCTGTGCAGGGGCCCCAGCGGCTGTGCTGGCTGCCACCTCCACCTCCCGAGGTCCCTCTACCACCCGGACGGTGTCCACAGGAACTGGGCTGTCTGGCGGTGGCCTGCCCTGGGGTTGGGGGTCAGGCTGGGGTCCAGCCTGTTGGGCCTGAGCTGCCTGCAGCTCCTGGAGTGCTTTCTTGAGCTGGGTCTCCAGCACCGCGACCTTGGCGGCAAGGGCCACCTCGCCATCAGGCACGCCCAAGTCCCGTTCTCGGACCCACGTGCCCACGCTTCGGGTCTCCAGTGTTACCGGGTCTTCGGGAGCCTCCGGAAGATCAAGGCAGAGCTCGCTGCGGCCCCGGGCGCCTGAAGGGTGGCCCAAGAATTTCTGGCTCTTCAGCTGCACGGTGAGCTGCCGCTTCTCCTCCTGCAGCACTGACAGCTTCACCTGGAGCACGGGGATCAGCTTCACCTGCTCCTCCAGCTGCCGCAGCTTCCGCAGGGCACCCGCCATCTGCTCCCGAACGTGGGCCAGGTGCCCGGCGCTGGGCGGCACTGGCGTGGACATTCCCGAGCCCCGTGGCGTCTGGGGCGGCAGCCCCACGCCCACCAACGAGCTGGTGGAGCTGGCTGCGCTGGGGGTCAGGGAGCCCAGGCCCGTGGGCGCCGCGGCCTGGTCCTCGAGGCGCCGCCGGGCGTCCAGCAGGGTGCGCTCCACCCGGGGATTGAAGCCGCCGCGGGCCTCCAAGGCGCCGTACTGGGGGTAGAAGCCGCGGCCACAGTAGGAGTAGGCGGAGTGGCGGCTGTCCCCGCTGGCGTTGGAGCACAGCGACTCGGTGGAGGTCCACCAGGAGCCAGGGCCCCGGGGCAGCGAGCCGAGTCGGGGCCGGCGCTGCACGGCCACGCGACGCAGCGTGTGGCCCTTCTCAATGTCGTCCACATACTTGAGAAAATCCAAGTCCAGGCGGTAGCCATAGGGTGTCTCCACGGAGTAGGGAGGGTCAGTCTCCTTGGCAGGGAAGGCAGGTGGGGAGGCCGGGCCAGGGGTCCCTAGGGTAGGAGAAAAGCTAGAACTTCTGAACACTGCTGTCTGGGGGTGAAAACTAATGATCCCCTCCTGGGAGAGTCAAGATTTATTTGCCTAAGGGATGGGAGCCCACCGGGCCCTCAACTGCTCAACTGTCTCCAGTCTTAGANCTTAGCATCATGGGGGGGAACATCATCTAGGACCATACCTCCCATGGACACAGGGGAAGTCCAGAAAATGGACTTCTTCAAGGCCACAGGTGCCCTGACTTTCCATTCAAGAATCCCCCAAAACAACCCCCCCCCCCCACACACACACACACACTTGCACGACAGGGCCCTGTCTCCCTCCAGGACAGAGCCAAGCTGTCTCTATTCAGGCCCTCAGGGCAAGTCTGTGTCCACCCCCAACCCCCATCCCCCATCCCAGGAAGGGCCATGTATCTCCCCCTACCCCCAGAACCCTTTCCCTCCCTCAGAACTCCAGGTCAGGCCCATCTTCCCACCCCTCTCCCCTCCAACCCCCAGGCAGGGCCCTCTTCCTTTCCAGAAGTCTGACCTGGAAAGGGAGCTGGCACGTGCAGGACTTGGGCCATCTTCCCCTCTGTAGATGTTCCTCAAAAGTCACTGGGAGGCTCAGAATCAAACTGCCTTCAGCACAGGCTGAGGCTTACCTGGGAGGAGGGGGCAATGGAGACTGGAGTCAGGAAGGGTCTGCAGGGGAAGGAGAGGGGATGTGGCTACCACCCTCCACAGCTATCCTTCCCAACACCCCTGTTCCCCGAATAAGGACCCTCTCATAGGTGCACACCCAACCAAGCTGTGGAAAGGAGTGGGGTGGGGTGGGGGCCCTAGGGCCTAGAACAAAGAAACCAAACCTCACAGCCTGCCCGCACATCTGTCCAGCTCCTGGACAGTCTCCAGCTGTTCCTACAGGCCCGCCTCCACAAGGCCCCCAGGCCAGGGGCCCCAAGCCCTACAGGCCTGACCCTTCCTGCACCCCTTTCCCTCAGCCCAGGCCAGGAGCTGGTTATGGGGACAGATGGGGGCTGAGGTAGGCAGGGGGCTGGAGTGCTAATAGGGGGACAGCTATCCTGCAAGGATCTGAAGAGACAGAGACCCAGAGACAAAAACAGAGCTACAGCTCAGGGTAGGGGACCCCAAAACAGAGTTCTGTCAGGAAAGCTGGGGTAGAGGGGGTAGGGAAAATTGTGGGGAGGCAAAAAAGAGCAAAGCCTTTCCCCTTTATGGAAACAATTTTCTCTAAAAATAAACAGTTTCGCTGCCGGGCTACACGAGAACTTCCTGCCCACCCCCAGGGCATGTCCGGCTGCTGGGGAGAGGGGTGCCCAGCAGCCAGGGCGGTGGCCCGGGAAGTCATGGGGGTGCCAGAAGGAAGTAAGAGGGGGTGCCTGGAGGCTGCAAAGGGGAGGGACAATCAGGGCCTCTCACTAACTCACCCTCCCAATCCTGGAGTCCAGCCAGGGTCCTTTTGTCCCAAACACTTTGCCTGAGCTTAACCAGTCCTTTCTGCTGTCTGACCTCCAGCTACCCTGTTGCAGAGGCCCAGACCCATCCCACCACCAGGGAGGACCCTTTCCAACCTGTGGGTGCCAGAGCAGTGGGTACCTGGGAGGATGAGCCAGGTGGGACACCTGCTGGGCATGAAGGCGGGGCTGGGGCTCCAGGGGTTGCCGAGCTGGTCCTTTTCTCACACCCCTCCTGTTTCTTGATTAGCGTCTTGCTTTATCTCTCTCCACGTCTCTGTCTCTCTGCGTCTCTCTCTACTTGTCTCTCCCTGTCTCTATCCTAACTTCTCTGTCTTGCAGTGCCTGGAACACAAATGTAGGAAATTTGGTCTTCCACCTGAAGATTCATCCCCTGCACAACAGGATTACAAATAATTTCTGGGGACCCGAGAGACTGGAGACAGGGAGCAGGATTGGAATAGCCTGTGGGGACCCCTGGAGGTGGACAGGGATGGGGTGAATAATAGTAATAACTACAATAATGATCCGAGTATCAGACAACCCCACCAGATAGGGAACTTGGGGGCAAAGAAATGTGCAGTGACTTGCCCAGGGTCACTGGACGGGTAAGTGGCTGGTCCTGGATTTGAACCGAAACCTAGCCGATTCCCCCATTGCGGGCCAAGCCACCCTCACCCTCACTCCACATCCCTCTAACCCATTTCCCAGACAGAGACAGGTCTGGTCATCCTCAGTGAGGTTAGGTGACCCCAGGTGGAGAAAGCAGATTGGGGGGGCGGATGCCTGGGGCTGAGGCCCCTCTCCCTCTATGGAACCCCTGGGGGACAGGGCGGGGGACACAAGATAGACACAGAGAGAAAGGAAGATAGGACACTTAAAGAGGAGACAAGGTAGGGGCTCAAGGAAGGGGCACAGGCTCCGGGTGGGCACGAATGTCCGACGGGGTCTCCCTAAGTTCCCCCTCGCAGACCCGGCTGGATGTCTCTAAGGGTCTTCCCGCCCCTCTGCCCGCCCCAAAGATGGGGGTGAGGAGGACCCCACCCGTGCAGGGAGGGGCGGGGCCTGCGGGGTCCCTGGCTAATGGCAAACAGCTGCCGCTCCCCACGCCGGCCCAACCGCCAGGCCAAGGCCCAGCCCAGCCGGACGCCCGGTCGCCTTCCCGCCGGCCGCGGAGGGCGAAGGCGCAGGGGGACCGCGCGGAGGGAACGAGGCGGGGAGGGCGGAGATGGGGCAGCGGCAGAGGGGGGCAGTGATGGGGCGGGGGGCAGGGCGAGAGCTGCAGATGGAAGAGGAGGACCGGGTTGGGGAGAGAAACAGGGACGGGGGTCAAAGATGAGAACAGGGCAGAGATACTCAAAAGTCGTGAAGTTTGGGCTGAGATGGTGGAGCTGGAGGCAGCGACTGGTCGATACGCGCGAGGTCACGCCCCGGAGTTGGCGGAGGTGTAGGGACCACGCTCGAACCCCGGTCCGGACTCGAACCC